AAATCAGGATGTTGCACGAGTTTGGTTAATACCTGTATATATATTTTATTTCAAACTTGTGAATGAATGCTATCGGAAAATAGTCAACCAACGTGTCGTATAAAACAATCGGTACTCACACGCTTCAGAGGATTTTTCTTGATGATCTAAGCTATATCCATGTGGGACTTCTTTGTTTGGTTTAAATCCGAGTCAAATAAGGCACTGTTGAACTGTGTTAAAGTGTTCCACAAGATGTTAATCATCTAAACTCCAGCCTGCTCGTGGATTGGGAACGGGAGGTGTACGGGATCGAGAAGATAGCCGGGATGTTTGAACTATTGTGCTGGGAAATTTCATTCATGAGGACGTATAAAGATGAAACACACACATAAGAGTAAAGGGCCAATAGTATTAGTACGGAGGTCTGGGATTTAAAGTTATCTAAACAATGCTCGTGTGAGTCAATGTAAAATATCACATGAATAATAAAGTTTCCTTGGAGAATTAGTCGGTTAAAAAGCAACTGAAACGTGAACTGAGAAGCTGGGAAGCAGTAGTGTACATCTGTTTTCTACCCGGTTGGTTCTCATTAGTAGTGCGAATCCAGTGGCTCAACTGGAGACAGAACCCGGAGTGCTCAACGGCAGAACAGCTCTTCAGTGCTTCCAAGCTTTTTAGTTCACTTTTCACTTGCTCTACATACGACAAATTCTCCTGTGAAATTGAATCAAATCATCTAATACACTCATGTGACTATTAATTAAAGTATCAAGGGAAGTGCATGAAGACAAGCTTGAATGAATATTCATTTATTTATACTAGATGACGGATCGGAAAATAAAAATTATGAAAAATTATGAACGACGGCTACACAAAATGGTAAATAATGCAACATTGAGGAAGTTTACATAAACAGTCCTGCGTGCTTACCGTTTCTATTAGCTAAACATTAGTTTTCTCACCTGTCACAAAGTTCCTCCTTCTCTGGCACCTTAGACTCTTCCCTCGAGATCAAATGTCAGTCGTTTCATCCCGTGTTGAATATGAACAAAAACGGAGGACATATTCTCTCAATGTACACAAAAACTATTTCTAGGAGATAGCACACAGTATGAATTGCAATAAATGTGCAAGACAATTGACCAGTAGATAAGGAGATTGTTATCATAGAAACCATAATAAAGAGATGACAAAGAATCTCTGAAATGGAATAACCCTCGAGTGAAAACTTCGAAGGCACTGTACATCGGGCTTGACTGGTGGTGTTGTCCACGGAAAGCACGGTGTAGATTCAAAAATGATAAAATGAATGAGACCGGATACTCGGGTCTTTAGTTTGTGAGGCCGAGAAAATGTCATATTGATAATGAATGAATTTCTCCAATACAAAACCATTTCTTCTCAGGGTAATGCAACAAATAAAAATATAGGATCGTCCATGATTAGAACCATAAAACACATCACAAGGAAACAGAATATATTCCTGGCAGTAAGAAATAATACCAGATTTGTAGCAAGTAAGTGTCTATGCTGAAGGCTAAGAAGTAATTCCTGTATCCTGCAATAACCACTGCAACCACTCGAGTGTTGAACTGATAAAGGGTTGATTTTGCCACGCAAGCTCGCACGCACACAAGAGAGGGAGACTATATATAAGCTATTACCCGATCATTCTGCTATCATCTTCCTTTACCATCGATTATTTAGCCAAGGACGATAGAATCAGCGTATCCGTACTAGCGAATCATCTCTCTACTGTGACTCTAATCAGATTCCTATCGGCTCATGCTATACTTGTCTATGTGCGCAGAATATTTCGTAAATCAATGGACTGATCGTTGAAGTTAGCAAATGAGAGAGATTGGATCGCTTGCAAACAAGATCAGCATGGGTAGGAGTTGTCAGGATGCTTCAAGCTTTTCACCATTGAATTATTATATTGGGTGCGAGCAGGCGCTTGCGTGTTGTGTGTTACAAAGTATTATTCTATTCCCGAAGGAAATAATTCCTTGTGGTTTTCTGTACACAACAAATAAAATTTTGAAGGCATTGGCAGACTAAAATGTAGCACAATCAATTGGTTCGACCCGGGGATGTTTGAATGTTCTACTGAGAGAAAGTATTTCAATTTTTCATGATATTTTCGAACGTTTTCTGGAAACGGGATTAGACTGATAAGGTTTTGAATATGAACTTCTATTAGTGAGCAGTGAATACCGTTTATCTACCCCCGAACTCCATGATCAAGAAGAGGGTTTACAGGATAATCCTACAAACAGGTTTCCGAAGGACACTGTTCTCTTTCCGATATCTTGATTATTATTGAATGATTGAGGGTTGGCGTGGACGAAATTGTGTGTAAAATAATGCTCACAGGTTGCTGATAAACCGTGACAGCATACGGAATGCACAGGTTATTGATAACATAAAGGGTGGTTGAAATACCCGTATTAATAAGTGTGGGTAGAAAACATGCGATTGCGATATACTTGTTGGCTGATAATTTTAAGCGATAGGGAATCGGAATGTTGGTTGATAGGAATGCTCGTACTTTAAAACAAAAACCAGAAAATTTGTTTACAAGCCGAACTTATGTTTACTGTCAACCAGGTGTTTTGGCATTTAACTGTTCACATTCTTTGAATGTCCCTAACGAGGAACAACTGGGCCATCTCTGCCAGTCATCCAAACAAGCAACCCTCCAAGTTCACGTAATTTGGTTTCAATTAAGGAGTGTTACTACTGATAAAAATCTCGTTTTCCGACCTGATATTCAAGATGATTCGTTGTGGTAAAAGGTACAAGAATGGCGTTTTACAAACGGTACTCCGGTAGTGCCAACATCCTTTTCCTCTACCCTGATCGCCAGTTAGGTGTTCCTTCATGGCATTTTATAGTTTATTTTTTTGATTATTCATAAGCAATTGACTTTGGATATATTTTCTATCCCGTAAAATGCTATTTAGTTGCCCATCTAAGGTTTTCGCACTATTAATCCGTCTGATCCTGTGTGTCCGACAGGTTATTGTATTTCGTTTACAAAACAGTGAAAACAACTGCGTGTGGAAACTGTTTAGGAAAATCCCTGATACACGATATCGGGAGGAAATTTGTTCACAGTGCTATTGATTGTCTGTAGACCAGAGTGGAAGTCACACAGAAATTTAAGGGAAAATTTGTTTGAGAGGGAAGCTAGTACGGAAAAGAAATTCGGAAGGTGTTCTTGTGTTCAATTTTTAATGGATGATTTAACTAACACCGACAATACTGATTTTATTGGCCCTTTTAATATGCAGCGTTACTAGTAGTGAACGCATTACTTATCGAAGTAGTGGTAGTAGTGGTAGTAGTAGTAGTAGTAGCAAAAGTATGCAGTGGAAAACCGTCATAACTGGTAATGATTTGCATATCATTCAAACGTTGAAAGTCCCCTGAGTGTATTCATTTCCGGTCCTGCAATTTCCTTCACAACTTTCGCTTCAGTCTGTTCAGAGTCAGATAGTACTATTTTTAATACTGAAATAGCTCCCAATCTCTTTCTTTTGATATTATATTTACCCGAGATGTTGACCCCCGGAAGCACCTTCAGTAGGCATACTGTTCGTCTGCTATCCGTGAACCCTGTTGCACAGATGATTCAAGTTTT